CCATCAGTGGACATTTAGGTAGCTTCCATGTCTTGGCTATTGTAAACAGTGCTGCAATGAACATTGGGGTGCATGTATCTTTTCTTTCTTTCTTTCTTTCTTTTGTCACACGGCATGTGGGATCTTAGTTCCCCAACCAGAGATGGAACCCATGCCCCCTGCACTGGAAGCATGGAGCCTTAACAACTGGACCACCAGGGAAATTAGAGTTTTCTCCAGATCTATGCCCAGGAGTGGAATTGCAGGACCCTATGGCAGCTCTATTTGTTCTCTGCATGTCTCACATCCACCACCTGCAATCCAATCCTTGCTCTCAACGTCATCTTCGGGGAATCCAACCTGTGACAGGGACCTTGACAAGAAGAAATGGCTCAGGGAAAATCTACCTGCATAGGGAAGAGATAGAGGCCATCGCCCCTGGGGTGAGGCGGGGATGGTGGGCACAGAGATTTGTCATTTCACCCCCGATACTCATCTCAGCCTTCCTGGCTGCCCCACTCTAGGTCACCTCGGGATACAGTGGTGACCCGGATAGAGTTCCTGCCTGTGCAGGAATCTGGGGGCACCAGCGGGTCTGAATAATGTTAGTACAGGGTCCCCCCTGCGGCACTGGCGTTATTGGGGGCGGGTCATCCTCTGCTGGGGGTCCCTCCTGGGCACTGTGTGGCAGCAGCATCCCTGGCCCCACCCATTTGATTCCAGGGGCCCCTCCCTCCCAGGTGTGACAACCACAGATTTTCCCCAGACATCACCGAAGAACTGGGTGAGGTGGGGGCAGGATGACCCTCGGCGAGGACAGCTGTGTTGAAGCAACCAGCCTGGCCCAGGGCAAGGTCTGCTCCAATCCCGTCAGAGCCTGCATTTAGAACTGCCCCTTCCCTCTCCCACCTCCCCTGCCCTTCAGTGGTCTCTGCGACATCACCCCATGTAATAAATCACACCTTCTCAGTTTACTGTCCCCAGCACCTAGAAGAGTGTCTGCTGTGTCGTAAGGTGCTTCATAAATACTTGCTGAATAAAGGAGTTGAATAAAGGGATGAGTGGATGAATGAATGAAGGTTACAATGGAAGGAAGGGGGAGATTCCCTTTCTGGCTCTCGGGGGTTGGGAGATCAAGTGAAAGATCCGTCCTAAATAGGCTGACCAGCCTTCTGGGGTTCCCCAGGACTGAGGGTTTCCCCAGAGTTCCAGTGCTCAAACCTGAGCAGTCCTGGGCAAACTGGGGGCGGGTGTTGGTCACCCTATGTAAACACAGTAACAATTCCAAGTGCAATAGCAATGGCCAAGGACCTCTACGGTCTTATTGACCAGGCACAGTTCTTTACCTGGTGGGGAAGGGTGGGCTGGGATTGGAATTCCGGTGATCCAGAGCGGGCGGGTGAGGGCACACCCCGGGCTTGTGTAGGGGAGTCCAGGAAGGTTCTGGAGGAAGTGACAGTGACACAGGAGGGAGGGAGGAGTCTAAGGAAGAACGTCCCACAGCACAATTTGTACCAATGACCCTGGGCCCAAGGTCACACCTGACCAGGGTTTGCTTTTTTTTTCTTAATTTACTTTTTCCCACATGGATATGCAATTGTCCTAATGCCATTTATTGAAAACTCCTTAATTTCCTCACTTTCTGTCATATCAAGTTCTCATATATCTGTTTCTGGACCTTTATTCTATACCATAGAGCTATACGTCCCATCCCTGCACCAATAGGGCTGTTTCATCACTATAACTTTTTTTTTTATTCATTTCTTTGGCCGTGCCGGGCGGCATGTGGGATCTTATTTCCCTGACCAGGGATCGAACGCGCACCCCTTGCAGTGGAAGCTCGGAGTCTTAATCACTGGACCTCCAGGGAAGTCCCCAGGGCTTGCTTTGACATCCGTCGCATGGTGGGGGTGGGCATGGGGAGAAGCGAGCCATCCTATGTAGAAATGCAGGGTGGAGGGCAGGACAGCTGGAGCGGGAGGGGAAGAGGCGGAGGAGGGAGGGAGGGAGGGCGGGGGAGAGACAGACAGAGAGTTTCCGGAGACAATAGCTCTGGCGTGTCCTAGGGCATGAAAGCTGAAAATACCTCCTAGTGCCGGGAGCCTTGGAGCCGGAGCCCGGGAGCCATAGTGACTGCCTCTCCCCGCTGGTGTGTGTGGGGGGGTGGCTCTGGATTTCTCAGGCTGGGAATGGGGTGCACAGAGCAGGGATGGACCAGGGACCCTTCTCCCTAGGACCTCGCGGGCCATGCTCAGCTCACAAAGCTGAGCCACTCCTGGCCCAACGAGTGGGGGGCTTATCCTCCCTGTCCCCTGGATCACACCCCCTCACACACAACTTGCCGGTGTGTGCTCCCAGCAACCAAGAGAATCTGTTTTTAAAAGATTTGGGGGAGGGGGTAAACAAACAAACAAGAGCAGAATGGATACTTTCTCAGAATGTGAATGGCTCTGTGTAAACCCACCCCCAGGGTAACCACAGTCCTGACCTCTAACAACCTTGATGAGTCAGCCTTGGTCTGGGCTTGTGGACCCATGGAAGCTTCCTCGTCCCCTCCTTCAGATCCCATCTCTCCCTCTGTGTCTTTGCGAGAAGCACCCGGGGAAATGAGACTGCTAGGCTGTACTGCTGCTAGAACTCCACCTGGGCTCCACCAGGCTCTAGTGTCACCCCCCCCGCCCCCCGCCCTGTGCAGCTCTCTGACCCTGAGGCACCTCAACTGGTAGAAGCGGCATCACCTTCCCTCCCGGGACTTGTGACACTTAAGGGAGACACCGAAAGGACAAGCGTTTGGCTCCCTGGCTGGCAAAGAGCAGGTGCTCAATTGTCATAAGTGTCCGTATCAGTGAGGGTTCTCCAGACAAACAGAATCCATAGGGTGTGTGTGTATACACACACACGTACATATGTACACGCATACAAAACTATACAGCTGTGTATATATGCAGTATTCATAAACATATACACATATAGTATATACAATACACACATACATATATACACATATAAAATGCATAGTTTGTATATATACAGTATGTATACACACATATACACATAATACATACAATACACACATACATATACACTATACATACACACATATAATAAAATGCATAGTTTGTATATATACAGTATGTACACATGCATATAACATATACAATATATACACCTAGGTACATATATATCATATATATATATACATACATACAAAGGTATATTAGGTGTGTATATATACAGTATACATACATACACATATACTATACATACACATATAATATATGCAATACATGCACATACATACATGTAGACACACATATACACCTACATATAAAAGCATATAGCATAAAAATATATATGTACTGTATATATAAATACACAGTATATATACATACATACATCATATATATAAAATATATACACATACATATATACAATGTATATACACACATACACACCTATACGTAAATATGTGCATGTATATACACATATAAATACATACGCAAGTGTGTATATATACAGTATATACATATATACATATAATGCCTATACAACATATACACATACAGGTATACAACATATATACACATCTATACACTGTATACATACATACATACAGTGTACATATACTGTATATATACACACCCATATATAAATATATGGGTGTGTATATATACAGCATGTTCACATGTATAATACGTATACTATATATATACACATACATACATATATATACAATATATACACACAAATATATAGGTTTCTATGTATACTATATATAGTACACATATACTACATACGCACGGACATATAAACATATGCGTATATACATATAAACGTGTATGTACATACCTTATATTCAATATATATGCATGCATACATACATATATATAATATGGATACACACGTATACAAATTAATAGGCGTGTATATATTCAGTATTTTTAGATATATAGTTTTGTTTTAATAAGTTGACTCACGTGACCGTGCGGCAGGCAAGTCAGGGCAGGACTCTGGGCTGGAGACACAGGGAAGAGCTGATGTCTGAAGGCCATTGGAGGAACAGTTCCCTCTTTCTACGGAACCTCATTTTTCTCTCGTCCTTCAACTGATTGACGAGGCCCACCCACGCCGTGGCATTGACAATCTCCTTTACGCAAAGTGGACCGATTTCAGTGTTAATCTCATCTGAAAAATACCTTCCTGGCCATATCTGGAATGTTTGTGGTTGCCAGGGCCCCGCGCAGTGCGCACATGAAATTAACCATCCCCGTAGCGTTGATGACACTTTATTTTCTCCCCCGAGCATTGTCACTACTATTCCAATTAAAATGGCAGCGCCAAGAGGGCAGGGCATTTCCTTTTTTGCCAGTACTGAGCGTCCAGGGTCTGGTGCCTAGCATAGGCTAAATACACGGCATTCTTGTGAACAGAAGCGGGGATTCCGGCTGTCACATTTAATGAGGAATTATAGTGATTAATGACGGGGCGGGG